CTCCCACCCCCACCGCCCACCAGACTCCACAAAACCCACCTCTTTAAAATAATACCTCAAAAAATATATCTTTTGATGTTAAAAAGTCCTCAAGAGGATATTCACTCATAAAGTTCAATTTGAGCCCCATCCACCAGGTGTATGGTTTGACTGAATGCAATTCTCTTAAACTGTTCACTCTTAGCTCAGTGCCACTTTATTCAAAATTGTTTCTTTCAATTTTTAGACAAATTTCCAGTTTGTACACCTTGCTCCTACCCTCCACCATAATGTCACTATTTTAGCAATGATTTCAGGCTGACACATCATAACATACCAAACATTAAGTGGTAGGGCTAGAACTTCCCTGGTGGCCCAGTGGCTAAGGCTCCCCACTCCCAATGCTGGGACCTGGGTTCAATCCCTGGTTAGGGAACTATATCACACATACCCCCAACTAAGATCTGGTACAACCAAATAAATATTTTTTAAAAAGATGTAGGGCTGTCGCTTTCTACACTGCTTTACTGAAGACTAAAAACAATGGCAGGAGTCCCCTGCACTTGGACTTTTAAGCTGTCTCCCCATATCAGTCTCAGCCTAACTAAAAGACACTTACTCATATAGTGTATGTGAATTATCCCCTAACTCCAGTCCCTGAATATTTATAAATTCACTCATTTAGCTAAAAACTTTTTGATATTTTAAGAGTTGAACCCTCTCATAACCTAGATCCTTAATGCATTAAAGTGCACTTCCCAGATCAGACCCAGCCCCAACATGACTCCACAAAGTGCTCAATAAAGGATACCAGGAATAAAAGGATAAATAATAAAAGGAGAACAGTTCAATAAAGGAAATTGAACTTTATTATGTTTAATTTTTCACAGGAAATAGGAACAGTGATTTCCTTTTCTTGCTCTTTTAGGAAATCACATTACTTCTGATAATTGGCAATTTCCATAAACTGGTGTTTACTTATCCCATTTCCACTTGCCAAAGCCCCCAAAGCTCAAAACTCATTTGCTAAACATAGAAAAGGCATCAAAAAAAGAAAAAACAAACTTGAGAATGTCTAGGACTGAAGTGTCCAAAGACTTGAGGCAGGTTTTATAATGGCTGCCCTCACAAATCGTCGTCGTCTTCTTCAGGCTTACTTTCCTGCACTTTGGTTTTGCTCTCATCGATTGGAATTGCAAGCTCCTTCCTAAGGAGAGAAAATGGAAAATATTCAATATTTGGAGTTGTGGACCAAATGAGATATACGAAGTATATTTTATGCTTGTTTTAACATTCATATTCTCCCAAATGCCCAGGGAACATAGTTTTGTAATATCCAGTTCCAGGTTCTCTTTAGGGAGAATCTTCCTTTGTGCGCAAAATTTATGGGAGAGCTGAAAAACTCAGTATTCAATATTAAACGTTTTTAATGCACTATTTAAGAATAAAGATTAAATGCACAGAGACTTCCCTGGTGGTTCAGTGGCTGACCTCGCTCCCCAGGCAGGGGGCGCGGTTCAATCCCTGGTCAGGGAGCTAGATCCCACAGGCCGAAACTAAAGATGGTGCATGCCGCCACCAAGACCAGGTGAAACCGAATAAATATTTAAAGACTAAACGCGCAAAAAAAAAATTGCACGACCACCAAATTATCTAAAATTTTAAATAAAAGCAAAATTCAATCCTATACTTGCACAACGGGGTCTCACTCGCCTCCCACTGACCTAAACCCCGATCCAATGAAACGTTATTCACCGAAACCTACGTTTCCGGAGTTAATTCACTCACTCACCGCACCGCCCCAACCCGGGAGCCCAAGGGCGGGCAGCCTTCAAGGGCCTCGAGCCCCCCACCGAGTTTGGGCTCTGAGGGAAGGGACAGCGCCAAAGGTGTCGGGAGAAGAGCCCTAACGTCCCAGAAAATTTTGGGCGCCTCCAGAGCAAGCCACTTACCGAGCGAACACATTGGGGTACTGGCTGCGCTGGAAAACGCTCTTCAGCTCCGTCAGTTTCAGCCGCCTGAACGAGCAGCGGCGGCGACGAGGCCCCCTGTCCGAGGGCTGCGGATTCTCGGCGTCCGCCTGCATCGGCTCCTGTGGGAACTCCTCCTCGTCACCGTCGCCGCCGCCGCTGCCGCCCTTCTGGATCTCGTCGACCATGGGGTCGGGAGCTCCCGCCCCAGCCTGGCCCTGTTCTTCTGCTGCTGCTGCCGCCGCCGCCGCTCCCGGCTCAGGTTCTGATCCCGACTTCTCCTCGACGGAGGCACTTGTTGCGGTGCCCGAGACCTCGGGGGGCTTCGTACCTGGAAAAGAAAAAGACAAGAAGTCTGGGCGTCGGAGCGCCGAGGGTGCGGGGCGGCGGGAAGCGCAGGCCCGCGACCTGAGAGGCGACGGCGACCGCACCACAGCCGCGTCCCATCCACTCGCCTCTCCCAGGGAAAGGGCCTTTCCCTCGAGTTCACCAGAGTACCTATCCCGCTCTAGGCACTGACCAGGTTCTTCCTGGAGCTCGTCGACTCCCGGACTGAGGTAACCGGAGTCTTCGTGTTGGCGTCCGGGCTCACGGTCCATGTCGCTAGCGCTGTCCAAGCAGCTGTGCGCCTCAGTCGACTCTGCGCTATTGATGGCGGCGATCCCAACGTCTGGTCCGCGGCGTTGGGAGTTTTTATAGCCGGTCTGCAGCCGTTCACGTCGACGCCCACGTGCTAGCTATTCCACGTCGGCTACGCGAACTCCTCAGTAACGGCGCGTGCGGTGGGCGTGGCCGTTGGGCAGTGCACGTTGACTGGGCGTGGCCATAGAGTAGAGAGATGCGCGTGGGGAGAGTCCTGGCAGGGGGCGAGCGGGTGGGGGCGCGCGAGCTCCCAGTTGTGGCTGAGCTGAATACTCCCGGCTGCTGCCTTGGGTCGGTCCTGAACTAGAGGCTTCTCCCGATTGTGCGAGCTAACTTGGGACGGGGTAGGGGGGAGGGAATGAGACCTCAATGAGGCGTCCCGGGAGCCTGGGGGAAATGTTGGGAGACCGTCTCTCCGCCTGGCCCTCGATGGGCTCAGGCTTGTTGCTATTAGTTACCCCCTGAACCCCCTGACCCCCAGAGCGGGAGACGCAGAGGTGGGACTGGAGAAACCGTGGGGCCCCAGCAACCCCAGCCGGCTGAGACGACAGTCGTCCCCTCTTGTCGCGTGGGCTCTGAGCGCGACTTCCCTCTGGGAAGTCGGTAATTAATGGATGGGACTGTGATTCTGTTCCATTCGCTCTCAAAGTCCATGAAACGGGCTAGTGATTCAGACGGAAAGACTAGGTGGAAGGTGGGAGACTACTTGCTGGGGTTTTGCAATAAGGCGCCAAAAGCAGAGCCCGCCTCCTCTCGTTCCCTGGGGGGTACTGGGGCGCGGGAACGCGGGGCTGTATTTGCAGAGCACACAGTGTACTCAGATGCCTATTGCAAGAAATCCAGCCTGTTCCTTACAAATGCAACAAGTAATCCAAATTTGTACTAACCTATGTCAGAGGGCAAGTATAGAACACTGCATGTGACCCTTGCTTTGGCCCTGGATGCGGTTGTGTAGGATAGAGCATCTGCTTTGCTATGCTCCGCTAGCGCATCTGGGGCTGCTGGCCCTCTGCAAAAGTGCACGGGTTTCTTATGCTGGGGGCTGTGTGGACTAGGTTGTTGTTGTTTGGTCGCTCAGTCGTGTTTGACTCTTTGCGACCCCATGGACTGTAGCCCGCCAGGCTCCTCTGTCCTTGGCTACAGTGTTAATGCCCTCACAATGCGTTCTCCACAAAAAGAAAAAAATCTGTTTCACTGAATATTAAGTTTAGTTTTGTTAATTAAGGTCTGTGCTTACTAAAACTCACTTCTAAGATAGTTCCTTGTTATGTTATATTGCTTAAAAGGCTAATTGAGTTATTAAAAAGGATACTCTAAGATTGTTTCTAAAGCTTATCTCATTAACCAATCTTTGGATAAACGTCAGATGCTCCCTTAGGTACAACCAGGAGATTAACACTTGGCTGTAATCATTTAATTGAGTCAGATGACCTGGGGTGTACCAGGCTTTTCTTGACTTAAATTCTTGCTTGTGACCTTACTAATAACTGCTAGCTATATTATTTTCTATGTAGCTTGCTTCAGAAGATTATTTCTTACATTACCAAATGTGTGACTGATCCTGTGATAAAATGCTGATATGCAGCTCCATATGAAGTCAATAGTTGTAGCTCTAGATATGGGAAGACACAACAAGAGAAAATATTTTCCTGGACCAAGAGGGAAATAAAACAGATATGGTCTAGAGGCTTTTGCTACTTACAAGGTTTCATCTAGTGACAGCACATTGAGTGTCCTGTCAATGGAATCTTTGTTAGACCTTGGAATGAGCCTTCCCAGCCCGTGGGACACAATGACCATGAAATGCCCCCAAAACATGGTCAAATATGTGGCTGTGAAGGGGCCCTGCTGACTGGAAGTTGGCCCTTGCCAGCTACCTCTACAAAGATTAAATCATGACCACTACAAGATGCTGATCTTCCACACCCCCTAGAAAGGAGTTCAGGGTGGAGATAAATAAGGCACTCTGTGCCCTGGGAAAAATCCAGAAAACAGGCCTTCAGATTGTCAGATGTTATCAGGTGAAGATTTTTATGAGTCCAAATTCTTGCATCTTCTCATTCTAGAGAATCAGTAATGTCACTAACCAACGTCTGGACCTGGTTCTCCTGGCTAACCCCACAACAGCTTTTCTAGGTCTATTAATCTTTGGGCCATATATCTTTAATTTTCTTGTTAAGTTTGTTTCTCCAAGTAGTAGTACGACAAGAATATCCCCCAGCCAACATCCAGACAGTGCTGGAACAAGCTGCCTTATCATTCTGTGGACTCTCACCTCCCTCCGTAAATACACCCCAAGGTCCTCAGGCTATTCTCCCTTTGAGGAGACCACCCCCAGTGATTAAAAAAAAAGCACAAGGGAGACCACCAACAACTAGCTGACCTGGAGATGTCCCAACACCTCCAGGCCCTGGGAAAAGTCTTCTGCCATATCGCCCAATAAACCTTAGAAAGGACACTCATTCCTTTAGGCAATTGAGTTCATCCCTATCAGCTAGGAAATGAGGTATGGGTTAAAGATTAGGAAAAAAAAAAAAACTTCAGCCAGTTTGCACTGACCCTCACACGGTCGTCCTGGCAACCCCTACTGCTGTTAAAGTTATAGGTGTCATCCCTTGGATCCACCACACCAGAGTCAAGACGGCAGCTACTTCCCGTGATGAGGACATTTAGAAAGCAGTTTGGGGCCCCCATAACCTCCTCAAGGTCCAGTTCCAAAGACAACGGCCCTCACCCACAAAGGACGCTGAGCCCTGCTGTAGTCACTCTGGAAGCTGACTAGTCAATGCACGGCAGAAACTTGAAGATTCTTCAGCCTTGCTCCAGCCACACTCCGGCAGCTGACTAGTCAACACACTGTGGAAGCTGGAGGATCTGGCTATCGAAATATAGCCAGATGGATTTTCATTATCAACCCTGGCCTCTGTCCCGAATCAGTATTATTGCTGTGCTCTTCATTACAGGACCAACTAGACTCCCTGACTGAGGTGGTTTTACAGAATAGGAGATGGCTAGACCTACTGACAGCTGAAAATGGAGGATTCTGCCTCTTCTTGAACGAAGAATGCTGCTTTTATGAAAACCAATCAGGAATAGTCAGGGACATGGCCCAACAGCTAAGGAAAGGAATCATAAAAAGGAGAGAGGAACTAGCAAGTTCCTGGGGTAATGGGAACACTATCTGGAGCTGGGCATCATGGCTTCTCACTTTAACTGATCCTCTCTTCATGTTCTTTGTGATGCTCCTGTTTGGCTCTTGTATTCTCAATGCTATTACCCAGTTCATAACCTCTTGAATCCATAAAGTTACAAATTGTAATAGCTCAATATAATGCCCTAAACAAGGGAGAGCCCTGAAAGTCCTACAAAAACGTGAGATGATGCTTTCTACAATGAGTGATAGAAGCATCAAGAGGCGAATGAAGAGGAAAAGTTAAAAATTACATAACCTCCTGCTCCTTCTGCCTCTGTAACTTAGCTTGCTCCTTGCAAAGTCTGGATCATGTAGGTCTCAGAAAGTGGGGACTTAACAATACTAGGAACTAGAAGTTATCTCACTCACCTTTGTCCTGCTCTTTGAAATCCCCCAGCCCCTGCAAACCCACAAACCTGCTTAATCATGCCTGTCTGTGTATAAAAACTTTGTAACCCCTTTGTTTTGGGCTCAGAGCTTGGAGTGTTAACTCCTCTGGGCCCGCTGGTGTAATAAACCTGAGTTCTTCAGCTCTCCGAGTGTGGTGCTTGGTTTCTCAAGTACCAGTTTCTGCAACACCCCCACTCTCACTTCCACTCCACTGAACATTAGTTTGGGGTTTGGGTCATATTTTGATCCAGTCAGATCTAATAATACAATGGATCATGGGAAGGAAAGCATTCAGGAATAAAAAGGTTAACACTAAAAATGAGGTAAATAATTCCTTTGTATTTTTCATCCTGTAAAAGATGGTTTTGGCTTGTGTGTGATGTGATAACATTTTGCCCCTGTGGGAAAATATTTTCACATTTTAATGTCCAGATTTCAAGATATGTACATTCACTGTTGCTGTTTAGTTGCTAAGTCATGTCTTAACTCTCTGCAACCCCATGGACTGTAGCCCACCAGGCTCCTCTGTCCTTGGAATTCTCCAGGCAAGAACACTGGGGTGGGTAGCCATTCGCTTCTCCAGGGGATCTTCCTGATCCAGGGATTGAACCCACGTCTCCCCCACTGGCAGTTGGATTCTTTACCACTGAGCCAGTGTTTGGACTCAAGTTTTTATACTGAAAGAACATTCAGATAATACAAGAGAGACTTTAAATGAGCACCAAAAACATGACTCCAGGGACTTCCCTGGTGGTCCAGCAGTTAAAACACCACACTTTCAATACAGGGGATATGGGTTCAATCCCTGATTGGGGAACTAAGCTCCCACATACCACATAGCGTGGCCAAAAAATTTTAAAAACAAACAAAAAACATAACTCTGTTCATGGGTACCTTTTTGGCAGAGCCTTAGATCTTCATGATGGAGAAATATGTCCAACTTAGGCCTTCATGGTGGTGGAATGTTAGGGGAGTTATGACTCAAGCCAGAGCACTGATGAAGCCACATGTTCAAGGGAAAGACCATCTTTTCTCTCTGGTAACAAATCTACTGAAAAACACAAAGGGAAACAGTATCCGAATCTCCATTAAGGAACACATCAGATGGTGGTTTCGGAGTCCTACTTACTTGGGAGGATCCTAGAGCAATTTCTCCATCCTCCCAACTTCAGAGAGTGCTGGTTCTTTTTAAATGATTGTCAGATGTCAGATTCTCCCTTGGCTTATTTGGAAACCAGGACTTTATCTGTTTCCTGAAAGCATTAAGCATGTATTTTCCCAAGGATGTATCCAAACTCACTCACCTGTCATGAACCTCTGATGGAGACAGCAAAGAAAAAATAATTTCTTATCCTGCCATTTGATGTGACATGTGGTGACAGAGGGCTTCCCAGGCAGAGATAGTGGTAAAGACCTCATCTGCCACTGCAGGAGATGTAAGAGATGCAGGTTCAATCCCTGCGTTGGGAAGATCCCCTGGAGGAGGAAATGGCAACCCACTCCAGTATTCTTGCCTGGAGAATCCCAAGGATAGAGGAGCCTGGTGG